TCATTTGATTATTTATGAAACCTTATACCTGTGAACACAACACATTGGAATCAGTTGATGATACGTAACATTTACTGACACTGATGAACTAATGATACATATCTGAAGGTGTTAAAGTTGTAACTAATTGGCATCTTAATATCTTGTTTGTTTCAGTCAGAAATGATTGTAAAACATCATACACTGACTCATCTTTGCTGTACTTTAGAATTGGCAAGTTTATCAATTTTTCAGTCTTGGTCAATAACTGATAATGTAAATTTTAATCACTACTTTGAACAAATTTTTAAGAAACTTTTTTCTGGTTGATAAATATCTGCTCATATTTTCTGAGGGACAATAATTGCCAGTTAAAATTCAGTGATGCCCTATCAGCTCGTTTGGGGCCTGTGACATTTTATCCTGCTAGACGTGGTATACCTGGTATTACACATCCGACTCTCTTATTCTATCGAATGAACATTCTATTTAAAGATCCATTTTGTCCGTTTTGTCTTTTATGGACTCAAGTTAAGATATTGGTTGATTGTGATAATGTGGTTTTATCCTGCTAGTTGTAAAGACATTGTATGAGAAAATCTATCTCCTTAGATTTGTGTTGCTAGATTTTCTTAATGTGCAGGATTTCTATTTCCAAGGCTTTTTAATGCTGATTCTAATGGAGAAGAATGAAGATGTTTTATTATTGATGGCATGTTACTTAAAATGTAACAGCCAGTCAGTAACGATTCTAAATATGGAGTGTAATTGATAAAGGACCAATGTCACTGTGGTAATTGTACAGAGACCTACCTGTAGGATCCTGGGATTTGCTGATATGAAATAAATTTGTACAGAAGAATTATTTTTATATCTAATGCAGATAAATTTGTATAAGAAATAATTGTCACTTTTTTAGACAACTTAAATGTTTGTTAGAATGCAGAGTAGACTTACTATAATAACTTTAACAGGAAGACTGCAGAATACTGATCCTTTAGTAAAATCTTCATTCACAAATATGGTCTTTCCAATAACTTCATTGATAAATATTCCCAGGCCTTTCTATGAAAGGCTATGAAAATTAGTTAGAAGTGTGCTTTGATAGTTGAAAAAATGTTTCATAATAATCGAGTGCCAGGATGTGCATAATCTGGCAGACCCATCTTTGTCTAGTACACTTGTGAATGTCCATGTATTTTTTCCCAAATTAGGATATTGTACAAACAGTATTACATACCCTATGAGTGTTCACTTCAGACAAGATAATATGCTGGAAAGTTTTACTTTGATGCCTTTACTTTGTTTCAACATATCTATAAATTGCTCTTGATAATCTCCATGTCAATGTTGTATTTGACTATTCTCTATAAATCCACAGACAGACATATACACAGATTGGTCATGACCCTTTGTCTTGTGTTGCTGTTTGTGTGTAGAACATGACTTGGCTATAAGGTAGGCCAAGTTGTGGGTATATAACATTCTCTATGAGTGACTAGATATTGTACTGCTTGATGCAAATTATCTGCAGAAACATGTTATTTGCTAACGTATTGAAGTTATTCCTTGATTTCTTTTCTAACAAAACTAATTAAAACCTGGTTGCCAGCGGAACAAAAAATGACAAAGTGGTATTGTACCTCTACAAAGTAGCACATATCAAGGTAGTTCCCAAATCTGCAAAACTATGATTTTATTCTTATCCAATCAAAAGCTAGTCATATGGTCATCCTTTTTTGAGATATTGCTAAAATTAGTCAAGTATTGACAGAATAGTCAGTTATATCAGAAAGCAATTACCAAAATATTCATCAGAGAAGACAGAATGTAATTAAATTGTTAGTTCCAAACCACATGTTTTTCATGCGATGAAAGGTAGATATTTTTGTGCTCAGACAATACTTTGATTCCTTTGATATGTACCGACCTGTTACACATAAATCTGTCAGATTTCATTGAAGTCCTGTTGTAAAAGAGTACAACATGCTTTAAGATGGTGTAATATGAAATGAAATTACCAACAAAATGGCTGCCAAAGGAACCCTTCTGATTGGTTGAAATTTAGATACTGTCTGATTTGCATGAAATGTTGTATGTATGTACTGTCTGACATCAGGAACACAATGACAATGTCCATTTTCTGATTTAAAAAAAATGACCAGTACAATATGGTGATGTGCCCCCTCTGGTGACTTTGTATTTCTCTCCCTTCTCAATGAGTTATCCCTCCTTTATATAAAAAATAACACAATTTTTTCCAGCTAGCCATTTCCGATTTTCCAGTTGACTTGACATATGGTTCACATCTTCATTAAACTGTACAATTTGATATATAGTACAGGTTTTTCTTAAATAGCTGTGTGTCTTTAGGATGCTCAGCATCTTATAGCCATCACCAAGATCAATTGATCTTACTAGGCTATTTATAGCCCAAACGGAATTTTACACTACAAAAAGACCCAACAATGCACATACACCTCCATGTAGAGGATATAAAATGTGTTCATGAAGTGTTTGATGCTGTCATTTTATAAATGCATGTATACAACATTAATAGATACAAAAGAAAATGCAAAAATGTTATAAGATGTCTTGTTTTAAATGAATACATGGGACTATTATAACTCTTCTTCTCTGTTCGGAAGAAAAATTATATTGTCTGCACTGTTCAATTTATCTCCCTTCTTCCATACTTTCGAAGTTTCAGTAGGCCTTAATTCCTATCAATATCGAAGTTCATGGAATATCTATGTCTCCAAGATCAAGTTTCTTACATGATTTATAAAATAGACGTTTGAAATCCTTTCTACCTTTTGAAATTATGTGATAATGAATTGATTGAAAAGTTTAAGAAAACTTTAGTACGAAACAACACTGACTTGTGTAAAGTTAGCTTTTTATGATAAATTCTGGCTGTAAGCACAGATGAGAAAACAAGAGTGTGAAAGATATATATTGCAGGAAGAAATAAAATGCGGTCAGCAAACTACATAGATACAAACAAAACAGCCTTAAGATTACATCATCAAATTTGTATTAATAAAAGGTTTGTAATTATTTCAGTATTGGCATCATTTATTATTATGTGTTAATGTTTTGTCATAAACTTACAGGCCTAATTATGAATGTTCAGCATATTGTGAAGAGCATGCTATATACAAACTATAAACTGATGAAATGTTATTGGTAACTACTGTGTAAGGTACTTTAGTTAAAAAAAAAGACAACAGATATTTGGATAAAGCTAGTAATTGATTGGTTGTCAGTAGCCAGTGATAATAGGTGATCATCAATGTTGAAATCTTAACCCGTCTGTATAAACACAAGAAAATATTCAACAGGAATATAATAGCTCAATACTTCAAACCTTCAGTGGCCTATAACAGTGCATTACACTGCAAAAATGTGCAGATATCAGAGTCACACTTGACTGGACATGATCAGTTATTACTTCTTCAATCACACTCATCCATCATAATGATCATATGAAGATCTTAAAAAAAAACAAAAAAAAAACACACACACACACACCCACCCACACACACACACACACACACACACACACACACACACACACACACACACAAATCAAAAGATCACTTGCCATTTCTTACTGATATACCACAACCTTTATTCCTTTCTTTATGTCTGTTAGTGCCAATGACACTTTGATCTTGTTTTTTTTAAGAATTTCTGGCAGCCATGTTAACTTGGTATTGTAAACAGGTTTTACTATAAATGGCCATTTCTCCTTCGTCATTCAACAGATTTATTAGTTGACTATGGTCAAATGCTATATCTCATTACAACCTGATGTAGAATACATTATGTGTTTCAGAAACAGTTACTATGGTAACATAATCCTGGCATCTGATTGGTCAAAATTTAGATATTAACTAATTTTGGTCAAATTTAGTATATAGTAGTATAAGTGGATGCCAAATATTACGGAATGTGTTTCATTGCTATGACAACCATTCTAAGGCAAATGTTGGCCTCTTATTGGTTGAAATTTAGATATTGTCAGATATTTACCTTATATAAAGGTATTAGGGAATGCCAAAAATAAATTTTCAACTCTTTTTGATTTTTTCCACAGAATATTGACCAGATTTGGTATATTGAGGTCTTCTGTGGGGATATTTATTATCCTCAGGATGACAGTTCTGGTATTTTTTACCACAGTGGGGGTGTTTGTGGGACTTGTGTAACGGATGTGTTACAATGAGAACTTGATCTTTTTGTTTTTATAAGTATATAACTGAAGCGTGTTGTAAATGTTCAGAGATCGATGCTTACGAAGTTATTCACTTGTCTTTTTATCTAGAAACATGTCCAGTAAGATGTATACAGGAAATGTATACAACTAAGATTTTTAAGATTATCATTAACTGTGTTAAATTTTTCCCTTAAAAACTTCTGAATGGACAAAAAGGCCAAGGGTTATGACATTAACGAAATGTCAGTCAAGTTTAGAAAAATGAATTACATTGACCCACTTTCATGGTTTTTAAACGGCCAATAAACCTTAAATCAAATGTCCTGGTATTGGATCAGTAGCACATTGTTGCATGTTGGGTTGAAAAATTATCAAATTTTCTAAGATTGATGAATTAATTGACCAAGGCCAGTTTTAAGTGTAAAAGCAACATGTTCAGACAGCTTCTTATCAATTACGCAATAGTCCAGCATCAAGAGTTGTGACCAATATCATGTTGGGATGAAGCCTTAAACCACTTTCAAGGCCGCAGGGGTGAAATGTATCAAAAATTGTTTTCCCATCTCCAGTGCAACATTCTGATATGTATGAGTAATATTGTTGATTTATTAATATTGTTTAATCCAACTTTAATCTTACTTTTGTTAACAGCTTAAAACTTGATCACAATAATGCCTACTTACAATATAGGTATTATATATATTCCATTTAATGTTGCACAAATTTCTATGTTACATATTTCCATAGGAAAAATAGATACACATAATGGAAGACATAAATTATAAATAGTCTTCTATCAATGTCAAACACTGGCAGTCTAGAGGATTATCCTGACACACTAAGACATATAGCTGTCAGTCTGGGGGATTATTTTGGCACACTAGGACGTATAGCTGACAGTCTGGAGGATTATCTTAACATACTAGAACATATAGCTGGCAGTCTGGAGGATTATCTTGACACACTAGGACATATAGCTTTCAGTCTGGAGGATTATCTTGACACACTAAGACATACAACTGACAGTCTGGAGGAATATCTTGACACACTAGGACATATAGCTGGCAGTCTGGAGGATTATCTTGACACACTAGGACATATAGCTGACAGTCTGGAGGATTATCCTGACACACTAGGAGATATAGCTATCAGTCTAGAGGATGATACTAGGACATATAGCTGGCAGTCTTGAAGATTATCTTGACACACTAGGAGATATAGCAATCAGTCTAGAGGTTTATCTTGACACACTAGGAGATATAGCTGGCAGTCTGGAGGATAATCTTGACACACTAGGAGATATAGCTATCAGTCTAGAGAATAATACTAGGACATATAGCTGGCAGTCTTGAAGATTATCTTGACACACTAGGACATATATCTGGCAGTCTTGAAGATTATCTTGACACACTAGGACATATAGCTGTCAGTCTGGAGGATTATCTTGACAAACTAGAACAAATATCTTGCAGTCTTGAGGATTATCTTAACATACTAGAACATATAGCTGTTAGTCTGGAGGATTATCTTGACACACTAGGAGATATAGCTGACAGTCTGGAGGATTATCTTGACACACTAGGACATACAACTGACAGTCTGGAGGATTATCTTGACATACTAGGACATAGAGCTGTCAGTCTGGAGGAATATCTTGACACACTAGGAGATATAGCTGGCAGTCTGGAGAATTATCTTGACACACTAGAACATACAACTGACAGTCTGGAGGATTATCTTGACATACTAGGACATAGAGCTGTCAGTCTGGAGGAATATCTTGACACACTAGGACATATAGCTGGCAGTCTGGAGGATTATCTTGACACACAAGGACATATAGCTGACAGTCTGGAGGATTATCTTGACACACTAGGACATACAACTGACAGTCTGGAGGATTATCTTGACATACTAGGACATAGAGCTGTCAGTCTGGAGGAATATCTTGACACACTAGGACATATAGCTGGCAGTCTGGAGGATTATCTTGACACACTAGAACAAATAGCTTGCAGTCTGGAGGATTATCTTGACACACTAGGACATACAGCTGGCAGGCTATAAGATTATCTTATCACCCCGCAATATGTAGCTGGCAGGCCTCATACAGGTCTCATTTTGACACCTGTGCATGTGACCTGTTATGTGAGCATCACTACAACAGCCTCATTAAAGCCATTAAAGGGGTAAAAAGGATCCTGTATAGGTTATGTAGACTCACATCTAGTTGTGTAACGTAATACTTTTTGATAATGTTGTGTCATGCAGTCATGTTCCTGTAATCAGTTTTATCAGAACTGAAAAATGATATGGTAAAGAAGTTTGAAAATAAACAGAAATCAACACTATGCAAATACAAGTATAAAAAAGTAATGTTGCACAAATTTCTGTGTTACAACTTATCCATAGTTATAAATAGTCTACTGGCAATGTCAAACACTGGCAGTCTAGAGGATTATACTAGGACATACAGCTGGCAGTCTAGAGGATTATACTAGGACATCTAGCTGGCAGTCTAGAGGATAATACTAGAATATATAGCTGGCAGTCTAGACGATTATACTAGGACATATAGCTGGCAGTCTAGAGGATAATACTAGGACATATAGCTGGCAGTCTAGAGGATAATACTAGAACATATAGCTGGCAGTCTAAAGGATAATACTAGAACATATAGCTGGCAGTCTAGAGGATTATACTAGGACATATAGCTGGCAGTCTAGAGGATAATACTAGAACATATAGCTGGCAGTCTAGAGGATTATACTAGGACATATAGCTGGCAGTCTAGAGGATAATAGTAGAACATATAGCTGGCAGTCTAGAGGATAATAGTAGAACATATAGCTGGCAGTCTAGAGGATTATACTAGGACATATAGCTGGCAGTCTAGAGGGTAATAATACAACATATAGCTGTCAGTCTGGAGGATAATAGTAGAACATATAGCTGGCAGTCTAGAGGATTATACTAGGACATATAGCTGGCAGTCTAGAGGATTATACTAGGACATATAGCTGGCAGTCTAGAGGATTATACTAGGACATATAGCTGGCAGTCTAGAGGATAATAGTAGAACATATAGCTGGCAGTCTAGAGGATAATAGTAGAACATATAGCTGGCAGTCTAGAGGATTATACTAGGACATATAGCTGGCAATCTAGAGGATTATACTAGGACATATAGCTGGCAATCTAGAGGATAATACTAGAACATATAGCTGGCAGTCTAGAGGATTATACTAGGACATATAGCTGGCAGTCTAGAGGATTATCTTGACACACTAGGAGATATAGCTGGCAGTCTAGAGGATTATCTTGACACACTAGGACATATAGCTGGCAGTCTAGAGGATTATCTTGACACACTAGGACATATAGCTGGCAGTCTAGAGGATTATCTTGACACACTAGGACATATAGCTGGCAGTCTGGATGAGATATGACTTTGCTGATGTTTTGGTCAGCTAGGACTACTGGACTGTTTACAGGATTGATGAGATATGACTTTGGTGATGTTTTGGTCAGCTAGGATAATGGTACTACTGTACTGTTTACAGGATTGATGAGATTAGGTTGTTATAGACTAGTACATTACAAAGCTTTTCAAAACGATGTGAACTTAGATGTCAAAATTTATTTCCAGTATAATGTGTATGACATTTTGTTTAATCCGTCTGTGTTGGGAGAAAATTGACATAAATAAGGTCAGTTCATGTTTCTCCAAGCAAGACTAATATATTCAATGACTTATAAAATTCCCAATAAAATTTTCAAAATCTTATTTTCCTATCGTGATAATATCACTTTAACGCTACTAAATAAAATACACATACCGACATGTATTTACCTACGGTTGTTGTAACTAACATTTGACAGGCTTATTACTTCTGTATAATTTTCAAATTGATATACTTCCTCTATTGTCTGCAGATAGGATAATTCAGTGATAAAATCAACGCCCTCAAGCACCACACTTTTGACAACAGTCATAAGTGGACAGTACAAATATATATGCCAGCAAGGACATGTATTTTTAGGATGTTTTGGTCTATAGTGAAAGAGCACATGAATGAAGTTTGTAAGTTGTATATAGGGACATGTTGTATGTGACGATCTGGTGGAAACCATTGTTTAATGTTCATTAAAAGTAGCATTTACATAAGTGTCACAGATGTATTTAGTACGTGGCGTAGTTGGCTGGAGCTAAATATCACCCTAGGCTAACTGGAGTGGAGCATTAGATTCCTTTTGATTGATGTGAGCAGTGTCGTGAATGACGTTTCATTTCTGTATTGAACCTGGAAGCCTGTGGGACTAAGTGGGACCAGGTTTGCACTGGTCCAGCTCCTAGGCACTACCTGCCAAACCATGAAAGTGTTTTAATAGTGCCGTTTACTCGGATTGTATTTACAATGTAAAAGTGATAATGGCCTCTCAAGAGAATAGTGATGTGGAAGAAAAAGGTGAGAAATTTTTTCTGATTGGACACAATTTGATGTACTATGTACATATATACATGTATGCATCTCCTGGTCATTTATGCATATTACCTGTCTTTTATACATGGTAAAATGCAACGTCACCTTGATAGTGTAAAATTTGTGTAAACGTTTAATAGCTGTATATTAACCATATCATTTGACAATGGAGAAAAAAGAGGAATCATTGCAGACACAGGGTACAGCATGTTTATATAGCAAACATTGTGCTGGTTTGTTTGTACTAGAAAAATAAAATGTTAATTATTCGTATATTAAGTTGACAATGCTGTGTAAGGTGGTACTGGAATATTTGGGTTGTTAGTCAATATGGTAGTGATAATGGCAAACCACTTGCTCTGGACACTGGTCAAGCGGACACACCAGGCAGAAATATAAATAGTCCATCCAATAATGGACCTAACAATGCGTCCTCAGAGGAAATCAATTTTGTATGATATTGATGACAAACAAGGAATTTATCTGAGGACGTGTAGGCCATCAGTGAGTACCTGTAATTACTGTAGCTATCAGTTATACATCAGGGATGTTCCACCAGTGTCAGTCTATTGACAATTATACTGACTAGTTGTATAATACAACAGATTTTATATCGACCCTTCAACATATCTAAATATTGTTTACTTGAGTTTTTTCCATGATGATAAAGTTACTGTAATGGAAACTTCAAACAATATTTACGTATAAACGTATACCTCATACCTCTGTAGTGTATGATGTTTTGTCACTCTGATATACCTCTGAAGTGTATGATGTTTTACAATGTCACTTTGAGATACCTCTATAGTGTATGATGTTTTACAATGTCATTTTGGGATACCTCGATAGTGTATGATGTTTTTACAATGTCACTTTGGGATCCCTCTATAGTGTATGATGTTTTACAATGTCACTTTGGGATCCCTCTGTAGTGTATGATGTTTTTACAATGTCACTTTGAGATACCTCTATAGTGTATGATGTTTTACAATGTCGCTTTGAGATACCAGTGTTGTGTTTGATGTTTCACAATGTCACTTTGGGATCCCTCTCTAGTGTATGATGTCTTACAATGTCACTTTGAGATATCTCTATAGTGTATGATGTTTTACAATATCACTTTGAGATACCTCTGTAGTGTATGATGATTTACAATGTCACTTTGGGATTCGTCTGTAGTGTATGATGTTTTACAATGTCACTTTGAGATACCTCTGCAGTGTATGATGTTTTACAATGTCACTTTGAGATACCTCTGCAGTGTATGATGTTTTACAATGTCACTTTGGGATCCCTCTGTAGTGTATGATGCTTTACAATGTCGCTTTGAGATACCTCTGTAGTGTGTGGTGTTTTACAATGTCAATTTGAGATACCTCTATATTGTATGATGTTTTACTATGTCACTTTGAGATCCCTCTGCAATGTATGATGTTTTGTCACTCTGATTAACCTCTGCAGTGTATGATGTTTTACAATGTCACTTTAGGATCCCTCTGTAGTGTATGATGTTTTACAATGTCACTTTGGGATCCCTCTGTAGTGTATGATGTTTTACAATGTCACTTTGGGATCCCTCTGTAGTGTGTGGTGTTTTACAATGTCGCTTTGAGATACCAGTGTTGTGTTTGATGTTTCACAATGTCACCCGTTACATTGAATGACTTCATTGGTGCCCTCCTGGAACATTAAGGAAAATTCCACATCATCTGTCCATCACTTCTTACCCACTGTTTATTTACATGTCATTTTGTGATGGACTTAACAAAGAACCTTTTATGTGACCCACTGAAATTAAGTCTACTACAGTACAGAGTTACAGCTCTTTGTAAACTATATTTTGAGGATGTAACTCATCTGCAGTAACAATTAAGACTTCTTTTTATGCCTCTTGACCTCTGGTGACGGTAACATGATGTGTACTGAAGTTGGGTATATCCCTCTAGATCTCTAGCCCTCTGTAACATTTGATGGGGGAATGTAGGTTACTGGTTGTATTTCTGTTTATTTTATGTCACTAACACGTAATATACACTTTTATCTTTGTTAATTCGTCCTGCCCGAATTTTCTGTGTTGTGTCAGTGACAGGATGTTCTAAAGATGACAGTCCTAGTTAATGAGAGGAAAATTGAATATCCGCTGCTACCAACCATTTAAGCTAAGAGCTGGAAATTCCAATAAATTGATAAAATGTATTATGTTGATGACAAGTGAGATTATGATAAACCCCAGTAGACATTTCTTGACCTTATTAGGAAGTTATATGGCTACTGGAACTAAGGTAAGACTGGTAACAGTGTCTGATTCCCTATCCTGTATGTTACCATCAAAATGTTATCAGATGTTCTGACAACCTCTTGCAAAAGTAATTTAGGTGTAAGTTTCTAAAGTTGGTCCCATCCTTTATTCAAAAAGGTGGTGAGGTAACATTGGGATGAGACAGTTATGTATCTAAATCCTACTGACCAAGTACTTCCGAAAGGATAGGGGTAGTAGATCCCCTGGTCAGGTCTCTCTACAAGATGGGGGGAAACAGGAAGCACTGCAACCACAGTAGATACCCAGTGTAAACAAATAAACAT